ATTAAATTGTGTGGAGGATCTAAAGCAGGCAAAAATCTCCATTGCATGCAAAAGCAGGTTTAAGTGGATTTAGTCAAGCGTCCAGCTAAAAGGTGCATCAAGCTGCAAGTCAGTTAATATGGTAGACCTGATGCCTCCCCAGATAGATGTCTGTTCCTGCTGAGTCCATAGCAACATTTAAAGAGAAACTGTACAAATGCTTGAGGAAAGAGGTGTAGCAAGCCTAATGCACAGAAACAGCAAGAGAAATGTGCTAGAATCCCATCGAGTAAGTCAAATGAACCCAATCATGGGTTGTTTTAGTTGCCCCATTTTTGAGATGGTTTATGGACATAACTGTGAATCAGGCTCAATGTTTGAATAAATAATGCTCGTATTTTGAGCAACAAAGTTACAAATATTTGGATCTAACGTTAGCTAAAATTGAGTAGTTGAAAGCACTTCCTGGAGGAATGGGATGTGGGAAAGGAATGAACTCTGGATAAATTTTGCGGGGAGCAGAGAGACAACTCAGAGGGTCGGCAGAGTGAAGAACCGAGTGAATAGCTTGAGGCTGAGAATGGGTCAAAATCTGATGAAATACAAATTGTTTCATTCATCAGCATGGCTGGTCATCCTGACATATACCCAGTAACTGCTGCTCCATCAATGGCAATTAAATTGACGAATAGAAGATAAATAAGTCACCAACCGCCACCACCCCCCCCGAGAGAAAAGTTCTTTAAACATATATTTCAATTTGAAAAGGTAGTAAATAATCAAGTTCATACAGGGCGTCGACCATGAAAAGGGACCACTGCCGGATACTTACAAAAGTCTTCTTTCATCTTCAGTTTTAAGTGCTCTTCACCTGTCTGGCTCCTTCAACCATTTGCTTCAGCAGGCATCTTCTTCAGCTCGCCTCCCCGCAGAATGGTTTACTGGTTTCTTCAGGACTGAACATGATTGAATCTAAGTTCTCTTTTTTTATACCCCTGCAAAACTCTCCCAAAGGTTGGTGAATTAGCCAATTAGAATAATGTACTTATTGGGACTCTTTTAAAAATCAATGCATCAACATTTAATGTGAAATTAGAACTTAAGTAAGTTCTACCTGATGATTCCTTACCACTGAGTGCATTTATGCACAAAAGTGGTTTCGAATGTGTTAAAATTGTTTGCGTGAGTTTTGTGTTCCACAAAAACAAAATCTGCTTGGATCCCAAGGGGTAAATCTTGCACAGATGCAAGTTTTAACACGCTAGTTACTCAGCCATGAAACTAATGTGCAGGATTGATGGCATGTAAAATTATATAGTGTTTATGGTAATGTTTTTCCACCCAAATGATAAATAGCAGAGTTTAACTTGTTAAAGAGTTACGGACCTGAGCTGGGGTTCGAGGTCGGGGAGGGTAGAGAGCAGGGTGGGAAACAAGGAATCGAAAGCACGTATTGTATTGTATTGTATTGCATTGCAGGTATTGTGACACCTTGTGTTTTTAGGACAAGCATTCAGTGACAAATATATTTCTGAAGGGAGCGATAATGTATCCTGACACAGCCCCACCACAAATCTCTTTCGGGAATTAATCCACCCTGGGTTGTCAGGAGGTGGAAGACAGAAAGACGACCCACTGAGGCATTGCACAGAAAAATAAATAGTGAAAAATAGTAAGAAGACTATTAAGTAAAAGGAAGTGTCAAATCCGATTTGAGGGTTTCGTATTCCTAAACTTTCCAATTGCATTTCCAGATGCTTTCCCTGTGGATTGGGATGTTTGACATCAGAAGTAGTTAAACATGGTAAAAACACAGCCTGATGTTGTCTGACAAAGTACTTAAGATAATTCTGCAGAAGGCACCAAGAAAACTTTCCACAGACCCAGCAGGTTTTTCCCCTCCACCGAAAGAGAATAAATATGCTGTGATCACTGGAAGTTCATCCAAATACAAAACACTTTGGGGATATTTCAGCCCTTTATAAATACCTGTCTATTTCAAAGAACAAAGGAATGTGTGGAGATGGGGAACAAACTTCTCCTGACTTTTGAAATGAAAACAACATCTAAAAAACACACTAACTCGTAACCCCAAGCAGGTACAACACTAAGAATTTGCATTTATACAGTCTCCTTCACGTAGAAACTTCTTGGAGCACTTTATGATGGCCGAATGGATGCCAAGCATTGGGTGGGGTGGGGGTGGGGGCAGGAGGTGACCGTAGTCGTGGTCAAATATGCATTTTGTAAGGCTGACTTGAATACAGAGAAGCGAGCAGAGGAGTATAATCTCATCGAATAGCTCAAGGGTTTCAAAGTGACATATACCCAGTAATTGCTGCTCCATCGATGGCATCGTCTTTTAGTGGATTGGTTTTAAATTGGTGACTTTGTGCATCGGAAAATTGTGTATGCAGTCACTGAGTAAAGGGTAGAATCCAACTTAAATACGACTCTTTCCGCAGTCAAATGGGCCACCTACGTTCCTTACCCGGGATCACACATTAAGGTCAAGTACCAAAGGACCACTGGCATTGCATCCTATGCAACTATATGCTGCACATGTTGCTCCTATCCTGGCTGTGTGGGTAGGGAATGATTGAAGAGGAATAATAGGGCAATTGATGATTGCAGCAGGACTTATTTTTCTCTCTTATTGAAACACTTCAAAAATTGTTTCTGCCAGAGAATATTTGAGAATTTTTTTTCAGTTCTCAAATATGCCTAATATGCAGCAATTTCAGCCTAGTCTTCAGCAATGTAAACTTTCACAAGAATACTAGTTTTCAAACAGAAGCTTTTGCCCTGTCAAATTCCAGTATTACTTGGACTTCAATCTACAGAGTCCATGTCACAATAAGCTACAGTGTTCTTGTATGGAGTGCTTTCAAACATTCTTTCACTATGAGTTAAATATTATACACTATTAAAAAAATGTTATTGACGTTAAAGGTACCAACTGAGTTGAATTGTTTTCCAGCACACACAATTTCACCACTTAAGAGAAACACAAACAGGCCAAATGTACGAGGGTATGGAATAGCAACAGCAGTCATAAATGTTATGAATGATTAAATAACACCACAGATTGGTATCGAGGAGTTTTGTTTTGAGATAGTTACCGAATCTTTTTTTCTTCAAATTATGAACATAGGAGTATTTCCCCAATAAAACTATTGTAGATGTCTGTCCTTTGCTCTCCAATACAGCATGGCTCTGAATATAAAAGCCAGTTTATTGAATTCTTGGTGCTAATAACAATTTTTTTTAAACACACGTTATCAAGTGCAAAAGGTGTAAAAAGGGGAGACTCCTGAAAATCATAAAAATAGCTGGGAAGAAACCAAAATGAACCTTAATTATATTCCCAGAATATGCATCAGTTTGAATCTAGACTTAGGCCTTGTGTTGTGGACAAATCGCTCCCATCCTGACCAATTTTGAGGAAGAGAAACTGACATTAACCAGGGTAGAGTCCCTTCTCATATCACGTCTTGAACGTTGACTTTCAAAATGAGAGGTGACTTGCTCCAGGCCACTGCTAGTCTGTAATTCACAGGACAGGAACTTACATCGTCCACATTGACTCACTCCTCATCTTATTCATGTGTGTGTGTGCGTGCAGATGTGTGTGGTTGGGGGAAGAACACCTTTCTTCAGCTTGGTGTCACTCTAATATCCTGACCAGGCCTGGGAATGAGTTATTAAATTATGCAACACAAATACAATATTAGTACCATAATATTGCATTTAATAAACATCAATTAGAACTATGTTCTCCGGTAGTCTAGTAGTTAGGATTTGGTGCTTTCACTGCTGTTACTCTGGTTTGATTCCCAGTCAGTTTATCAAGATAAAATACCCAAAAAGGAGTAAGCTACAGGGGTATGGGGAAAGAGGTAAATGGGACCAGCACAGACACGATGGGTCAAATGGCCTTCTTCTGTTCTGTAAATTTCTATGGTTCTATGCAATGTCTTTGCATTTGAACTACTCAAATGTGTCAGTCCTGGTAGCACTCTTGCCTCTGAGTCAGAAGGTTGTGGGTTCAAGTCCCAAGTTAAGACATGGAATCACATTGTCTAAGCTGACACTCCAATTCAGTCATGGGGTGTGTTGCATTGTCGAAGGTGCTGTCCTTCAGCTAAAATGTTAAACTGAGGTCTGTTCAGGTGGATATTAAAAATTCCATGGTACTATTGAAAAGGAGAAAGAAGTTTTTTCCTGGCCAACAATCCCCCAAATACAATTGGTCAGTTACTCTATGGCTGTTTGTGGGACATTGCTGTGTGCAAACTGGTTGCCACGTTTCACCTACAAAATACAATCAATCCATTTACAGTATATCCTTTGAAGTGCTTTAATATGTCTCGATGATGTGGTAAAACGTTATATCAAATGCAAGGCTTATTATTATTATTACTCAATCAAACTCAGTAATATTGAATTTCACAATCTTCATCATCTGAATGTTTCAACCTGCTGATGGAAAGAATTCCTTGTGGAGTAATGAGTATTTAGCAGGGAGTTGCAGCCATGAAAGTAACCGTCTGCGTCTGGAATTTAAACAGCTAAAACCAGTTTACCAGTGGGAAGCATTGGTAAGCTTCCAGTTGCTTTCTCAGCTAAGCCTGCCTACATGATTGTGTAGACAATTGACACTCATTACCAAGACTCGCGTGAGTGAGTGTGAGATGCTCAGGGAACAGCACCAGTCAGCGGCTTCAAGAGAGGGGAGAAAATTGAACCCTCCAAGATAGGTGTGTATATCCAGGACAATCTGGTAAATCGAGACACCGACTAGAAAATGTTACAGCAAGTTATTGAGAAAATCTATGAAGAACACCATCCTTATTACACACACCAGTTAGAAGGGGTTTGCAAAATTCCAAAAGAAGGAAAGAGTGAGGAACACACTTCATTAAGTTGAGTTAAAACTTGTTTGACACACATGAGTCTGTGGGTAGAATTGACTTGTTACAGTGGAACCCAATAATTACTCCAAAAAGTACTAATGATACTTATTTGCAAATTAATATTTATTGCCACACACTTGACAAATTTTACTTCACTGAAGTCTTCAAATTAAAAGGTAGCCAATAATGACTCCCATCTTCCAGTCTGGCTCACTTTAAACAACCGTTCTTTGCGATAAAATAATCTGCCATCTCTCGAACTGCCTTGTAACGATGGGATATGGAATTCTTCACAGTCTTGGGCATTTCGGCAAAACTGAGAAAATTCAATGAAAACTGATGTCTGTTGACATAATACGCAATGGTGCAAGCCAACAATTTAAAACGATTGATATTTTGACACCTTAAAACATTAATGCATGTTAATCACTTACGTCTGATCAAAGTCATCTGGTTGAAAACAAGGATCCCAGCCAAAGTCTCTAGGCCCTCTAGGTTCTACTATTTTACCCTAGAAAATAGAATATTTAAAAAAATTACATTTGGAAGAGTGGAAGATTATAGTAATGCCAATCCTAACCACCACTTGCATTAATAAAGGTGCATTTTCAGCAATTACTCAATAGCTACAATGGGCAGGAAGCCTGGATAATTGACAATTTTATGCACAAGCCAGGGAAGTGCCTAGTCCTCAAAGCTAAATACATAAATAAGTGCATTTATTCACTGAAGCAACGGAAGTGGGTGATTCTAGGCTTCTTCCCCTCATTATAGAACATTCCTATGACTTTTCTCTTGCCAGGGAGCTGAGAAAAAGAGTAATTTTGCACAAAGCTGAAGAACGAACACACTTGGAACATTCAAGACACAGGACTCCAGGCAAGTAAATCATCTCCACCTTGGCCAACACAGTCACCATTGAGACTTTGCTAAGCATTTTGAAAATGTCAAGCAACCATGTAAAACTTATAGTTAAACACTAACGGGCTTTGGATTTTAGAGAAATTAGAATTGCACAAGGCATACGCATTGAGTGATCTTTTTCACTATATGTAGTGTGTAGTTTGACATTTCAGAAATAGATTTACCCTGTGCGGTTATGACTAGCAATCTGTAGGAAATGCCTACTCCCACAAAAAAATTATTTCAAACATAGATTATAACACAGGCTCTCAACACCACTGGAACAAAATCTTTACAGTTACTATACAAGTCCTAAGACATTATCTGAAAAGAAAAGGGAGTTTCTCCTGATTGTGCGATCTTGCTGTGTACAAATTGGCTGCTGAGTTTGCCAACTGATACAGTCACCTTCAGCTGACATCAATTATCTGTGAAGCATTTCATGTTTCGTGTTAGACAATATTAAATGTAAGGATTATTATTATTAATACTAAACCAAATGTTTGTTGATGCCACTGCAGCAAATTCAAGAGTTTATAGGTGAGGAAGTGTAAGATATTCCCCTATTGCTGTTCAATAGCATCACAGTTTCACTTTGCCTTTGGATGTATATTGACAAAGACACACAGACACACAGGCCTCCGCAGTTAATATACATACTGGGGTTTTCCCTCGAAATAGCTGCACTGGGTCATTAGGGTTTCCTGTGCTGTAGGCAAAGGTACAGAGTGCATAGGCTGATTTGTCCTCGAAGCCTGCCAGCATCTTATACAAACCTAGAAAAGGAAACAAAAGATCCACACAAATCAGCCAAATTAGTGCATTCTTGGCTTGCATTTCTTCATGACTATTATTGGCATTGCTGGTCAATTAACAGATAGCTTCCTTCACTCGTTCTCCTACAATTCGTTTTCTGTTCTTATTTCAGGTATCCCTGTGCCACAAAACTGTGTTCAGAAGTTCCTTTCATCGCAATACTTATCCTCCAACCATCAAAACAGGGAAACTGGGTGCACCAATAAGCACACACGTCATCCTATATTAAAATAGAATGATAATCTTCAGATGAGACATTAAACCGATGTCTGCCGGTTCAGGTTAAAGATCCCTAGGCTGTTTGTGGGATATTACTGTGCGCAATTGGTTGCTTTGTTTCGCCTACAAAAAAAGTCAATCCACTTTACAGTATATCCTGTAAAGCGCTTTGAGACGCCTCACAATTTGATATGGTGCTATATCAAATGCAGGGATTATTATTAATAAATAACTCAAATAAAAATAAACTGCAATATGCATACCTAAAGTGATAATATAATGAAGAGGCCAGTCAACAACAGAACCAAGGGAAGCGTGAGCTGACACCATTTCAAATATATTACCAATATTAACAAAAACAATTCCACATGATTATTTGCAGACTTGAGAAAAAAAAACTCACCTTCAGGTTGCAACTTTTCCAAGAACCATTTTCTGAAAGAGNAAAAAAAATAACACACAAAGGTCTTGTTATTTGGGAAAAACACAAATGCGTCACCAGCATCTGTAATTCCGTAAAATGCGTGAAATCACTGTCCCGGGCTGTCATCACTCCGTTCCAAATAGCTTTCCGTAGCTCCAACCCAGCAAATGCCACAGGGGTAAGGGAATCCTGACACAGGGGCCGCTGACCAGTCTTCTCACAGCTTAGAAACCCATTAACCTGTAGGCTGTTTATATTATTATAATGCAGTCATCCATTGTCCCCAATGTACTGCCAGTTCTTTTACAGACAAGTCTGGTTTCATGCCACTATTAATCAAAGGTCCATGTTTGAAATAGCAAAGCGTCTTTCAACATTAAATTGCCGAGGGAGCCAGCTGTGGAATCTAGATACTGACTACCAGGTCCAACTTCACTATATTTTAAACAGCGACAGAGTGCATGGTTATATTTTCCTTACTTTGTTCAGGGGCAATTTTCATTTGCTGATACTTCCACCTTGCATAGCCATATAGGAACAAGCTCAAAATTTGGAATCCGATTTTGAAATGAGAAATTTAGATTCAAGGTTGGATTTTGTTTTGTTTTGTACAAGCTCGGACAAAAGCTTAAAATCAAAGTCAGGCTCCCCCAAGTACATTGTTGGGTTCATTTAGATATATTGCACAGGGTGCGTGGAGCAATGACTAGTCAATGCAGGCTGTCACGTATGAACTGGGGAAAATGATCACACAATGAAATCAGTCTCAATGGTTCCAACACTTTGGAAGAATGTGCCAATAAAAAGGAATAAGTGTGAATCATCAGCACAGGAGGAGTTGAGGTCAGCTGGGTGGAATAATAATTATAATAATTCTTGCATTTAATACAGCTTCACATCACATCTTTGAGATGTCTCAAAGCGCTTCACAGAATATACTGTGAAGTGAATTGACTGTATATTTTGTGGGTGAAACGTGGCAGCCAATTGCGTACAGCAGCGTCCCACAGTCATGGAGTGAAACACCAGGCTTTTACCTCAGGGATTTGGTCTGGACCATAGAACAGATTAATGGGCTGAAAGAATCCTTCTTCCAACACGTAAAGTCTTAGTCTGACAGGTAGGGGCTCTGCCAGCAATTTGTTCATTAAAAGCTTTCCCATGGGCAAACACTGCGAGTTCCGTCTTGTGTTGAATGCTAATGGGAAGACTTGGGTCACTCAGCCACTTATATCTGCGGAGCAGAAAAACTCTTGTATCGTGCTTAATGTTTTAAGGTGCTTGTATCGTCTCCATTAACTGGCTGGTAGGATAATGCACTAAGCACCATCTCTTACCACATCAGATATCTGCATTGTCGCTGTGCTAATTTGGATCCTCCATTTCTCTTCTCCCCTAAAGCTGCTTGATTCTATTTTTATTTTCCTGGGGTATGGTTGCTGCATGTCTTCAGTAACCTCACCCAAGTAAATCATTACTCATATGTAAGCCTTGACAGCAAGTGATTGGGGGAAGAGGAAAGAGTAAAATGGACGAATCTCAAAAGCAAGCCCTATACTTTCTCGAATAAATGTCCACACACACGTAGGTAGGTGGTAGCCTGGGTCATTTGGTAGCACTCTTGCTAATGGGTCTGAAGGTTGTATGTTCAAGCTCCGTCCCAGGATTTCACAATCCAGACTGAATCTACTTCAATGTAGTCTAGAGAGAGCGCTATTTCTGATGCAATGTTAAACAGATGCACTGTCTGCCTATTCAGGTGGACTTTAAAGATCCCATGGCAATATTTGAAAAGAGTTTTCTTCCAAACTCCTGGCCAACAATACCCCCAAATAAAATTGGCTGTTTGTGGGACATTGCTGTGCGCAAACTGGTGCAATTGTTACACTGATAAAACACACTCTACAGTATATCCTCTGAAGTACTTCCAGACTTTTCAACAACATTATAAGGCATCATATCAAATGCAAGGATTATTATTATATTGCCCTTCCTGCCGCATAGAGTAAGGTCACTAACTCAGCTGATTGGGATTTCAACCTGCAACTTTCACGGTCATTTTTAGGCACAGAAGCACTTGCTAGCGGTACGAATGACAAACCATTGCATAACATTGCTATTGCAGTTCTGCTTCTAAACTCAGTTGACCAGTCTGATGCTTCATTCCTTTACTTGTACTTGGCTCTCCAGGGTATGAAACAGATTTGCTCTTCATCGTTTAGGTAGCATTTCCTATGTTGTAACAGCTTCCTCTTGACATTACCAAAAGAGATTAACTGCTGCCCGACTCATCACAAAAGCCATTTTTTAAAATGTAAATACTTTTCCCCCTTTAGGTACTATGAGAATACACAACACAGAAGATGTAAGATAATTTATTCTACTTGTTCCTAAGAAAATATTTGTGGGTTACACATGATCCTATTTTTACCCACTGGGTATGGTTGGAAGCACTTAGGTGATAAATTCTGATTTAAAGTTATTAAGACAGATCGGTAATGCTGTCCAAGGAATGAGTTTTCTGCCATCTTGTGGTAGGTCACGGGTACTGCATAAGCGTAACTAGCAAAATATCAGACCCAGTTTACATTTATATAATGCCTTTCATGTCAAAGAATGTCTTAAAAAGCACTTTGTACTGCTAAAAACAGTAAAATTCAGATGTTGAGCTCATAGTCCAGGCTAGCATTCCAATCCAGAGGGAGTGTTGCATTGTCAGAGGTGCTGTCAACAACAACAAATTACATTTGTATAGCGCCTTTCACATCAGGAGGACGTCCCAATGCGTTGGGACAGTCAAGGATTTGGACACTGGAGAAATTCAAGGAGATATTCTTACTCAAACAATACTCACCAGCAATGACAGATCTGACAGGTTTGTCTTTGCCCAATGCCATTGAAGGAGCTGTCATCAGTATAGACAGAGATCAAGAGTGGGATATGGGGGATACATGGATCCAAAGAGACCAGAAAATCAGGGATATAAACTGTAGTGCAAAACGTTTGTTTTTTAAATAAAAATATTATGCAGAGTACAACCAGAGCTTGGTAATGGCATTACCACACTTGTCAAGAGTAATACAGCAGACAGTGCATTTATAACGGTGTATATAGTAGCACAAGTATTTTCCCCACAGCAAAATAGAAAATATTCAATACATCACCAAATGTTTCGATAGGAAGTACCTCATTATAAGAATTGCCTAGATATGAATTTAGTCGAGGAAGCCCAGAAATCTCAAAGTTCCTCCCAGGAAAGAAAGTTGTTTTTTAATCTCCAAAAAGTGAATAAAGTAAAAATAAGGAGTGATTAATCACGAACATTCCCAAAATGCTTGAGTACTTACATATATGGACCAGGTAGCCCATGTAGAGCATTGAAACATAAACATGTGTCTTCCACTATTACAGGACCCTGGATCTACAGGAAGAAAGTCAGGATCAGCAAAATGTCACCAGTGAAACATTGCACTTTGCTGGCCAATGTTGTCAGGTTTGCTTCTGGTAAAAGCCACAAATAATTTTTCCAGTGCTTTTACCAAATTAACCAATATCCTGCGAAGGAACCCAGAGGTAAGTACAAGTCTTTCTCCATTATGAATCTTGGTTTAAGCTGTAATGAGATACTCCTAACCTTGGGCAAAGTTATAATTCAATCTGTAAGGCTACATTTTTCAAAGGATAGGGAGAAAGGAAGAGAAGGGAGAAAGGAGAGGGGGGGGGGTGGAAGGAAAGAGGAAGAAGGGGGACGGAAGGAGACAGGGGCAAGCACAATGAATGTTGTAGAAATAATGGGAATCAATTAGAACTGACTAGTGACTAGTGGGAGGTGACCGACAAATTGGTGACCGACACTTACTTGCGTGGCTGCCTCCTGGCATTTCTTTATTGAGATCTCATCAGGCTCTCCCTGGTACTCTGGTACTGCGGAAAAAGTACCAGCAAGTTACCAACAGCACATCCCGTACCCTTCTAATATCTCAAGTAATATATCAAGGAATCTAAAAGGGCAAAATACTTACATTCAATCTTTTTAGAGATGAGCTTGAAAGGAAATTTGTCACCAAGAATCTGAACAACCTGTTTTGCGAGAAGCGGAAAGATTTATTCTACAACAGCAACAACAACTTGGATTCACATAGCGCCCTCCACACCGGACGGCGTCTGAGAGCGCTTCCCAGTAACGGATCCCGAGCTGGGGAGAGGGGAGGGAGGTGACCAAAGGCGCGGTCGAAAAGAAAGGTCTTCAGCCGAGACCTGAAAGTAGGAAGGGAGGGGGCGAGGCGAGGCGAGGCGAAGGGAGTGAGGAAGGGAGTTCCAGAGCCTCGGGGCGGAGTGGCTGAAGGCACGGCCGCCGAGGGCAGAGCGGAGGACTCGGAGGAGGCCAGACCCGGTGGAGCGAAGGCGGTGGGTACTGTTTTGAGGAGGGAGGAGGTCAGAGAGGTCGGATGGAGGGGGAGTGCAGAGGAGTGGGGAGGGATTTGAAGACAAGGGTGAGGATCTTGAATTCTACACGTATCCCCCCCCGGTGTGGTTTACAAAAATAAACCCTCGTGGCCACAGTCTCCTCCCACTCCCCCCCCAAAAAAGGCACCAGAATCGGACTCCCCTCCTCCAGCTTCTTGGCGTTACCAGTGACAAACACCACACTCCGCCGCTGTGCCCCAGACATCGCCGCCGCCGCCGCTCAGCGGCTCCTTCAGCTTCCGGGTGAGAGCGGCTGCGCGATCCAATCAGCGGCTCCCGAACGTCGCGACACAGCCGTGAGCCAATCAGCAGCCGCGGAACCGTGGGAGCGGATACAGTGTGTCCGCGACACGCGGGGCAGGTAGGGCAGGGCTGGCAATACAGGGCAATACTGGGCAGGGCTGGCAATACTGGGCAGGGCTGGCAATACAGGGCAATACAGGGCAGGGCTGGCAATACAGGGCAATACAGGGCAGGGCTGACAATACAGGGCAGGGCTGGCAATACAGGGCAATACAGGGCAGGGCTGGCAATACAGGGCAATACTGGGCAGGGCTGGCAATACAGGGCAGGGCTGGCAATACTGGGCAGGGCTGGCAATACAGGGCAATACTGGGCAGGGCTGGCAATACAGGGCAATACTGGGCAATACAGGGCAATACTGGGCAGGGCTGGCAATACAGGGCAATACAGGGCAGGGCTGGCAATACTGGGCAATACAGGGCAATACTGGGCAGGGCTGGCAATACAGGGCAATACTGGGCAATACAGGGCAATACTGGGCAATACTGGGCAGGGCTGGCAATACAGGGCAGGGCTGGCAATACAGGGCAATACTGGGCAGGGCTGGCAATACAGGGCAATACTGGGCAGGGCTGGCAATACAGGGCAATACTGGGCAATACAGGGCAATACTGGGCTGGGCAATACAGGGCAATACTGGGCAATACAGGGCAATACTGGGCTGGGCAGGGTAAGGCTGGGCAATACAAGGTAGGGTAAGGCTGGGCAAGGTAATACTGGGCAGCACAGCCAGCACAGGGTAGGACAGGGCAGCACTGGGCAGAGTAGGGCAGCACTGGGCAGGATAGGGCAGCACAGGGTAGAGCAGGGCAGCACAGGGCAGGGCAGCACTGGGTAGAACAGGGCAGGGCAGCACTGGGTAGGACAGGGCAGCACAGGGCAGGGCAGCACTGGGTAGGACTGGGCAGGGCAGGGCAGCACTGGGCAGGATAGGGCAGCACTGGGTAGGGCTGGGCAGCACAAGGTAGGACAGGGCAGCTCAGAGCAGGGCTGGGCAGCACATGGTAGGACAGAGCAGTTCAGGGCTGGGCAGCACAGGGCAGGGCTGGGCAGCACAGGGTAGGACAGGGCAGCACAGGGTAGGACAGAGCAGTTCAGGGCTGGGCAGCACAGGGCAGGGCTGGGCAGCACAGGGTAGGACAGGGTAGGACAGAGCAGCTCAGGGCTGGGCAGCACAGGGCAGGGCTGGGCAGCACAGAGTAGGACATGGCAGCTCAACCCCTCACATCAATACCAGCCATTCAGCCAAGTCACAATGTAACGCTGTTAGAGAGGGGTTATTGGTCGGAGGCAGTGACTTTTCCCTATAATTTTCTCTGAACTGGATCCGTCACGCGATTTAATGATACCACGGTGCAAATGATTACCGTCATATCCCGGCATCTTTTTGAGTACTGCCGTGCGATCTTTTAATGTCACCTGAGGAGGTGGACATGCCCTTGATTTAATGTCTGATCTGAGGGACTGCATCTCTGATAATACAGTGCACTCCTAATATGCATTGGATTATCACTCTAGACTGGGTGAGTTCAAGGGCTTTGGGCCCCTTGAACTCAATACCTTCTGATTGACTGACTGACTATCTGACTATATCCTATTATTTTATCTTTGGGGGTTGGGTTTCAGCACAGTTACTAGATTAATTTGATTCGAAGCCTCTTGTTGCTGACAAAAATGTGACACCTTAAAATACTTGTATATTAAGTACGAAATCAACAAAATTGCTGTGTTTTGCTGAAGTTTGCAGTGTTTTGCATTTAACTGCAAATGCCTCCTCATTCGTGTCTGCAAAATTATGTTAACACTTACAAGTCAAAGTCTTATGCTGCAGTCTTTCTGAAATGTTCATTTGTGAACTTCAGAGTTGTAATATGTCGAACCTTTTCACACTTGTGCTTAGATTTGACAATGAATCTTCTGCCAAAGAGCTCAAAGGAGTTCAGCTCTGCTGAGTATTGGGAAGCATTTTTTAAAAAACGGGGCACGAGCGCCTTTGAATGGTATGGGACCTATGTGGATCACTGTGCAGTCTTACACAAGTACATCAAACCGACAGACAAGGTATTGTGTCAGTTCAAAATGCAGACATTTTAGTTTTACAAATTGTAAAGCTTTACATATTGCAGCCTAACTTGGACTCTTAATGAATTAACTTTTCTGTTTTGTGGCTGTGATGTTTACATAACGGGTGTCAACTTCCTGAAAAAAATAATACTTTATACCACTGTTTAGAATTTTGAGTTGAAAGAACACTGATTTGAAAATATATGTGAAAATGTACTTCTGTGGAAATGGTATAATAAAAATGACTGACTATATTCTAGAATTTTATCTTTGGGATTGGATTTCAATCCAATTAGACTGATTTGACTTAACGCCTCTTGTCTCTTACTTTCTTACTCTGTTGATGCTGACAGAAATGGGAACAGGCTTCATTACATTAACTTAATGATCACCCACAAAATCTACATTTCACCCACAAAATATACAGTCAATTCACTTTACAGTATATTCCGTGAAGCGCTTTTGAGACGTCTCGAAGACAATGATGAGGCACTACATCAAATGCAAGGATTATTATTATGACAAAAATATTACCAAAAGGTTCTAGAAAAAAAAATCCTTTGTATTAAACTGAGTGATTCAGATTTTTTTTCTCCATGTTTTGCATTTTAGGTCCTTGTTGTTGGCTGTGGTAATTCTGAACTAAGTGAACAGATGTACGATGTGGGGTATCAAGAAATGGTGAACATTGATATCAGTGAAGTGGTTATAAATCAGATGAAGGAACGCAATGCAACACGCCGGCCCAAAATGGCCTTCATCAAAATGGACATGATGCAGACAGAATTTGCAGATGCTCAGTTTCAGGTTGTGCTGGACAAGGGCACCTTGGATGCCATCATGACGGATGAAAGCAATGGAACATTGAACAATGTGGACAAGATGTTTGCCGAGATTGGCAGGGTTCTGCAGGTCGGAGGCCGCTTTGTGTGCATATCACTGGCTCAGGACCACATTCTGAAGAAGGCAGTGAGCTACTTCTCCCAGGAGGGGTGGATGGTGAGGGTACACAAAGTTGCAGAGAGCGAGGAAAGGGCTGCTGAGAGACAATTTTTTATGCCAGTTTTTGTGTTTGTGTTCACAAAGTTCAAGAAAATGCCAGGAGTCGCCCTAAAAATTCTGGAGGTTTGTGTGGATGAGCAGGACAAGCCACTCCGCCTGGAGAGTGCAGAGCTGCTAATCGGGGCAGTGAAAGAACGGCAGCAATATGCACTTCTTAGGAATCACCTGAATAAGAAATCCAGCACCGGGGAGAATGTGTCGCTGATGCTTTGTGATAAAGCATCTGGGAAACCTCGCTACACTTTGTATGTGGTGGACCAACCCTCTGTGAAAACCTCACGTCAAAACCACTTTGCAATTTTCATAGGTAATGTACACACATAAGCATTTGTATCTGAAAGCAGCACTGTTCTTGTTAAACAGAATTGCTTGGATTAAGATTTTTTTTAAATTGAAAATATAGGGCTTCAATGATGCCGAGGATACACTCATCCTTTATGAATTACAATATAATTTTAACATCGGTACTAGGTATAGGTAGAAATGGATAAGATCATATGCCACACCTCCCTATTCTACTCAATTACTTATTTGCTATATGGCTTCTGAGCTGCTAAAACCATAACTTCTATTTCATCATATCACTCTGACAACTGTTTCACTCCCTTGTTTTCTTCCAGCTGATAATTGAGATATTTGGAGTGACTTTGCTGACGAATGTCCTTAGTCCAAAATATCTCCCAATAACCCTCATGCCTGAAGATGAATTTGCGTTACAAATGTTGGTTTAATGCCCTTGTACTTTAGTTCCACAGGGCAGAGAGACTGAATGGATGTTTGGAACTGACGAGGGTAGAAAGCAGCTTGGGAAAAGTGCTGAATTCAAGCGCTTGTTAGTGGCCATGTTGCACCGTGACCAGCACTATGAGAGCATGGAAGCCATTCAATCGGAGCTGTCTGGGAAGGTATTGGAATTGGCTCCTCCTGGACTACCACAGAAGCAGCAGGTAAACCTTTGCTCGGAATGAGCCTCTGTTTTGCCCATGTTTGTAGTTATGATATTAAGCGTACTGTTTCTCCCCCCCCCCGCCCGACAAGACTTGATGTATTTTGTCAATAAGCGATACTGGAAGGGGTGAGGTTTAAGATGGATAGAGATTTATGTGGAGTATAAACATTGGCATGGACTAGTTGGGCCAAACTACCCATTTTATTGATGTGCAGCGTATGTAAGTCAATGTGTTGAATAGGTTGATATTTCACTTGGAAACTTATTTTGCAGGTTCCAGTTCTTTCAGTCGGTGGCGATATTGGTGTTCGGACAGTGCAGTACTGTGGCAGCAGCGAAATGAGCGGGAAATACGTGGTTGAAGATATAAGAGGGAAAGATGACAGCTATTTCCGCCATCTCATATTCCTCAGCAATGTCAATGTGGTGCAGTCAGAGGTCAAACTCCTATACAGTGTTTCACAGACAGGTATTGTTTCAGAGATTACCTTGATAAAAACATGAGTGCTGTCCTTCCTACTCTCATTAGCCCATTTAAATAAATAATAATCGTTCCATTTGATATAGTGCTGTTGACATCAGGAGAACTTCTCAAAGGCACTTCACAGGATAACCTGTAAAATGTATTGGTTGTATATTTTGTGGGTGAAATGCTGTTCAAAAATGTTTAGATTAATAGGGTTTGTGGAACGACTGTTGTTTAATTAAAAAATTTAGGTGATGTTTTAAACTACAAGGATATTTATTTAAAAAAAAGCTTGAGGCACCCAACATCAACATTTCCAAGGACATTTTAGATTGAAAGTGAAGTTCTCTCTTCTCTGCTCCAACAATCACGGTGCACAATATGGGACATTGTTCATTGGCCAGATCAACTATCCTTGAGTTATGTTGCTAATTTAGGACAATTTTGTTCTGTGAGCTCAAGCCCACTAAGAACTTGGTTGAGAATAGGACCTTGACCCAAACAGAGGAGTATTTCATCCCATCAGTTTGAGAGGCCAAAGGGCAGTCTGCTAACAACTCCCATCATCTGGTTATATCTAGCCTATATAACAGTTTTTTTAATAACCTTTATCAATGACTTGCATGAGATCAGGAGATCAGGAACTTAACATAGGAGAGGAGAGGAATTGTGAGTCAATCCTCGTATTTTCAATGAATCCATAAAGTATAATTATTGTTGCACAGGAGGTATAGGAGACCTGATGGCCAGTTTATACGGCCAAAGAAAAGTGATACATTGCTTCCAGCAAGAAAGTGTTATGGAGTGAGAAGCCTCATTTATGTGAACTTGTAGCTTTAGCTAGAGTTCAGGAGATAATAAAAATCAAAAGGCCCCATATTAGAGTTCAGCTTGTTTGCAGCACATGCACAAGATTCTTTAATTAAAGATTAATGACATTAGAAAGTATTTCAATTAGAATTCTTGGTCACTCCACAATGTGGCATTGGACAAATCCTTGCTTTTAAGGTTTAGTGAACAAAATTGTAAAAATGTGCTTCATTTTCCAAATAGCTTCACAGAAGAAGAAAAGGAAAGACAAGAAGAAACGGCAGCCATATTCAGAAGCTGACAAGTCTTCCAGTACAAAACCCGGTCAGGGGATTGACAAGAGTTATCTTTGCTGTGACCATCACCGAACAATGATAGCTGGGCTGGCTCTCCTAAATAAAAAGGATTCACTTGTAGGTAAGGGGAGTTAGAGGAGGGTACAACATAGAATGTACAAAGTTCCCAAACTGTTAGGTAGTTGTAGACAAATGCAAGCTGATCTGTGATACCTGTTTCAGGCATTAATACAGGTGATTGGTAATCTATTCAAAGTTCACTATTGGGTAGTTGTGGGAAATCTCAATCCCTGAAGACCACAAGTGGCAAGTGTGAATGGGTGTCCAGTTGCTGTACAAAACCTGCTGAATTGTAAAACAAAATAATAATAATTCTTGCATTTGATGTAGCGCCTTATCACATCATTGAGACGTCTCAAGGCACTTCACAGAATATATTGTAAAGTGGATTGACTCTAATTTGCGAGCCAATGAGTATCCGTGCTCATTGCAAGTTCTTATTTAAATTTATTTTACTGGAATGTAAGTTTTGGTAGCAATTCAACTTTTTTTGTTTTCACATTTACATATTTAGACTGTTTATGGGACACTACTGTGCACAATTGGCTGCCATGTTTCGCCCACAAAATATACAGTCAATTCACTTTACAATATATTCTGTGAAGCGCTTTAAGATGTCTCAAAGATGTGATAAGGCACTATATCAAATAAAAGGATTATTATTATTATAGATTAGTGTTTATGAAAGCTGAAATCCACGGGAAAGGTTGACTTTATTTTGCTTAAAAAAGACATCCATTTTCACTTCAATAGATTCTTACTATTTGATACATGATATAAAGCTTTATTGGTGCAATGAAGCTGTACTTGACTGTAGGAAGTTTTCTTCTCTGTGCTATCTCTACAGACAACCCGTTCTCTTTACTTGTGGTTGGTCTTGGTGGTGGCAGCCTTCCCTTGTTTGTCCATGATTACTTCTTGAAGTCATCGGTCGATGCTGTTGAAATTGATCCCTCCATGCTGGATGTAGCAACAAAATGGTTTGGATTTTCACAGGATGAACGGATGAAGGTGCATCTGGCAGATGGCTTGGACTATATCAGTGCACTTGCAGACAGTGGTAAGAAATAAAGGACCCCAAACTTTCTTTATCCCCATTTTGTATGAAGGTGAAAATATTTTAGTTTGCCCTGTCACCATTGTTACAAATGGGACTGACAATATAAATTTGCTAACAGGTAAGAGTTTCACAGAAAGCTTTCATACAATTGAGCATTATAAATAGGGTATAGAATACAAAAATCAATGAAGTTGTGGTTAACTTATATAAATCATTAGTTTCACAGCAGTTAAACGATCCCCACCCTCGCCCAACTCCATTGGCTTCTCATCACACGGAAGATACCTCACCTTCAAAGCCCTTCATGGTCTTGCTCCCCCCTACCTCTGTGACTCCTAACCCCCTACCATCCTGCTCGCTCCCTCCGCTCTGCGGGCTCCAGCCTGCTTCACGTCCCCGGCCTCGCTTGCCCACTATTGGCTGGTGCACGGGCCTTCTGCTACTCTGTCCCCACCCTCTGGAACTCCATCCTGCAGTCCTGCTGTCTTGCCTCCTCCCTTTCCTCTTTCAAGATCCATCTCAAGACCCTCCTCTTCGACCGTTCTTTCGATTTCCCGGCTTCCCGCCCCCAACCCCGTCCTCTACCCTCCCCGATCCTGACCCCCAGCTTGGGTCAGAAACTCTGTCCAGCGCCTTGGGAAGTCCTCCTGACGTGAAAGGCGCTATACAAATGTAATTTTGTTGTTGTTGTGTCTAATATTGGTCACCCCCGTTTTAGAAAGGCTATCAGGAATATAGAGAGAGTGCAGAGATTTACTTGGTTGATAGCAGGGATGATGAGTGTTTTGACCTATGAGCAGAGACTGGAGGAACTGGGCTTATTTTCACTGGAACAGAGAAGGTTTGAAGAGTTTTGATAGTCGATGGTTTCCACTGGTTGGTGAGTCAGTGACTAGAGGGCAACAATTTAAGACAGGAAGCAAAATGTTAGCATAGGAGAATTTGTTTGCACAGAATTGTTAGGATGTGGAATGCCCTACAGGGTGTGGTAGTCAAGGCAGAATCTATGTCAGCCTTTAAGAGGGAACCAGATAGACATCTAACACTGAGTATTTACAGGAATAAAGCAGAAAAGACAGGTTTATGGATTGCTTCTTAAAAAAAGTTAGCACTGACAAGATGAACCAAATGCTCTATGGATATATTTAGTCTTACCTCCTCATAATAGTTGCTTCTGGAAGATGTTTGTGTGTGTAGCATTTTTTAGATTATAATTCCCATTAAATATTTTGAAACATAAAACAACGGGCATTTGGTTATCCTTTTTGCATGCGTGTTATCTTTCCTTGTGGGTTTACTGTTCTCCATTAACTCATATCCTCCGATTGCTCTCACACTTCAGAAAGCCAGGTTCAATTAGAAAAATGTTGTTTTTTTCATGGCAGGTAATCGTTCCTATGATGTCATTATGTTTGATGTTGATAGCAAGGATTCCAAGCTTGGAATAAGTTGTCCGCCACCAGCTTTTGTGGAAAAAACACTTCTTCAGAAAGTTCGCAATCTTCTTACAACGCAAGGTATGCACTTACTTTAGGATCTCTGTCTGGAAGCTTTTCTCATGGCTCAGTAGATAAAGGTATCATTGGTCTAGCACTGAGCTTTGCAGACCAGAAAGGTGCAAGTTTGAATCTATCTTGGTCTCTGCATTGCTGTACCCGATCTAGGAATGCTTGTGTCTGACACTTGGTGCCCAAAGTGGAAAAAGTTTTCCATTCCTTTCACTGATATCTCTCATCTGAAGAAGTGCAAAATTAATTTCTGATGCTCAACAGGAGCAGTGCACGTGTAGACATTAATCCTCCTTCTCTTGCTCTCTCACTATTTCAGGACTCTTCATTTTGAATCTGGTCTGCAGAGACAGTGCACTGAAGGGGACAGTCATGGCTGTGATCAAGGAGATGTTCCCTCTGATTTATCTGCAGAAGATTGAGGGTGAAGTAAACGAAATTTTGTTCTGCCGGCTGAATGCAGATGATACGTCAGGGGTGAATGAACTTCAGAAGGCAGGCCGTGTATTGGAGAATGCTCTGAAGAAACCCGGCACACACTGGGATGCAACCTATAGCCTAGCAGAAGCACTGAAGAAAGTTACCATTGCTTGAAAGGCTCTGCACTTTTGGACAGAGGCATGCGTGTACGATGACGTTTGAGTTTGCAGTGAACATTATTGCTATTTTCAGAGAACGCCAAGACTATCAACTGAAATATTCAACGTTGCATTTTCAATGCAATCAAAACTGTGCTGTGCCTTAAAGATAACATTTGGGAACATAGGAACTTGGGAGTTTTTGTTTCAAATTCTGAAAAATATTACACTGTTGGCTTAATCAACACAAATATGCAAATTATGGCAGGAGTAATTGATGTTCAGGCAAGGCACCAGCCACACTATTTCCTGTGTAAAGAGTTTCCTGTGGTGCGTGCGAAGCTGAAGACCCTGGATTTTAAATGGTATATCAGAGCATTTCTGTCCTGACTGTATTTCTGGTACCAGTTGTTGGGCACTAGATTAATCCTTTATACCTTTCTAAGACCATCCCCAAGAACAGTTCAAATTATCTCCTCCCCAATGGGTGAGTCCATCAGAGGTTGAGTGCTCCTTCAGCACACAATGGGTGATGTATAGGGAAGTTGGGTAATCAGCATAAAATTCAGGGTCCCCCCCCCCCCTCCCCAAACTCAGGTCCTTAGAAGACACTATGGCCTTGTGTTTGCAGATCGGCTGCTCTGGTCAGTGATTCCCAGCACATACCCTTTACAGTTTAGTGCATCGGGGTCAATAACATGGGGGGGGTTCATGTACTTTATAATTACCTTTCAGAAAGGTGCCTTTCAGATGATGAAATGCAGTTTGGTTTAAATTACTGACCTTTATATTCTTATTTTTGTGGTAGCTTAGTTTATCTTTTACTGGTGGTGTGTGTGTCAGGAGAGTGAAACCTGGCAACTATGTGAAAATCTGAGTTTTCTTTTAAAATGAGCTTGTCAAATTATCTGAACTGCAAACTCAACTTTCTCGTAATGACGTCTGAATTTGAAAGAGATTCTCTGCTGTTGGAATAATCTGTTACTTGTTGTAACACTGCATAATACACATCTATCTCAAAGTCATTACTGAATCTAACCCTTTTCAAGATAGAAAAATTAAATTGGTATGTTTACTGTACATTACATGAAAAATCTGTTTCCTAATTATTGAACAGAACTGTTTATTAACTGTTATACTAAAAAATTTAACAACTTGTTATGAATAAGAAAGACTGAGGAAATTTTACTGTAATAGTGATTTGCTTAATACTATAATTTTTTTTTGTTTTAAGCCCTTCTAATACATTTTATTTGAAATTCTTGGAGATAACAATAATCTGTGAAGCCTTAGATTGCTAACAAAACACAGTAAATAGAATTACTGTACTTGAATACGATTTATTTATAAAAAAGAAGGCCGTGAAGAGTTGCTCCATGGGAAACATTTAAGGCTTTTGGACAGAAGTTTTGAGCATTTTTTTCCCTCAACAAATGCATTTCTGTGTGTGTGTGTGTGTCTAATATCTTCAACTTAGAAGCCAGTTATAATCAGCAAATTTATCTTGCCTGATCAGTCCAGAACTATACAATTCTTGGAGTGAAATGTTCTCTTCTACACCCCCCAAAATCTCTGTGGCTCCTTCAATACTAGAGATTTTAACTAAACTGTAGGCTTTTGTATTTCCTTCAATATAGACGTCCTCATTCCTAAACCAGCTGACCCGCCTGGAATCCCTTCATCTTGTCACGATGAGCATTACGTTCAGTAATTGACCCCATTGCGACGGTTGCGGTACCACGTTCCATTTGGAAAGCTGATTCAAGCTTACAGCCGGGCGTTGAATGTGCAGCTACAGTCTACTCAAGTGCTCCCTCCCCATCGCCGTCAAAATAGTGATCAGGACACGGAAGTAACATTGCTGCGACTGATTTTTTAAAAAAAAAAACAATTTTCTTTTTAAATTGAAAGCATTTCCTTGCACGTCTAGGTGTGCTCGCTCAGTACGGAGAGCATCGTTGCCTTCAAAATACCGTATTACATCAATGGTTTCATGGCATTTCTGCCCCATGGGATTAGGAATACGTCATTTAGCTCTGGAGCCTGTTATTAGATGCAGATCTCCTAACGTTGTTTCTCCGTCTTCCCTGTGCCCCTTACTTCCCAAGTAGCAACTGTATCCACATCTTTTATTGCCTAATGGAGCGGTGAATTCTCACGGCAGCAACAACAAGATTACATTTGTATAGCACCTTTCACGTCGGGAGGACGTCCCAAGGCGCTGGACAGGATACTGCATTTCAGACCCGAGCTGGGGTCTGGGGCGGGGGAAGAAGAGAAGGGGGGTGGCCGATGGCATGGTCGAACTTGTCGTGAATGAAATTAGTTTTATTTAAACGTGACAAAGTGTTCGTAAACATAAATAACTACTTGCATTTGATACGGTCACCTTTCGCCTTTGGAGGGCCGGTTTTGGGCCGACGGGACCTCGGGGGTTTTTAGATGTCTCATCCAAGGGAAGACCTTCATTAGAATACACAATAACAACAACAACAATAATAATAATCCTCGCCTTTGATATAGGGCTTTATCGCGTCTTCGAGGCGTCGCTAAGCTCTCCGCAGAATATACGGTAAAGGGAACGGACGCGGCAGCCGATCGCGCACAGAAGTGGTGGGCAACACCGCGGAATATCGGCAAATATTATTATCATTAACAGCTAATAATAATGAATGAGTAGGGGGAGAGGGGGGGGAGTGGGGGGGGAGGGGGGGGAGAGGGAGGGGAGAGGGGGGGGAGGGGAGAGGGGAGGGGAGGGGAGAGGGGAGGGGAGAGGGGAGGGGAGAGGGGAGGGGAGGGGGAGAGGGGGGGGAGAGTGGGGGGGGAGGGAGGGGAGAGGGGAGGGGAGAGGGGAGGGGGAGAGGGGGGGGAGGGGGGGGAGGGGGAGGGGGGGGGGAGGGGGGGGGGGGGGGGGGGGAGACGGAGTGGGGGGAGAGGGGGAGAGGGGAGGGGAGGGGGAGAGGGGGGGGGGAGAGGGGAGGGGGGGGAGGGGAGGGGAGGGGGAGAGGGGGGGGGGGGG